GAAGAAGGAGGCGCTGCGCGCCGGCAAGAGGGAGCAGTCGCTGCTGTCGCGGCTGGCGGCGGCACAGCTGGAGCTGCAGGTGACGGCGCTGCGCTACCAGAAGCGATTCACGCAGTACAGCGCCCGCCTGGATGCGCTGGCCCGAGCAGCCTCCCCCGGCAAGGTAAGGACGGGCCCCCGCTGCTCCCCGGGATGCTCCCCCAGCCCCGCGGTCCCCAAAGGCCGGCCGTGTGCGGGGTGTCTCCCGCAGAACCCTTTGAGTACCTGAGCTTTTGGTACCGCTTTCTATAGGTACATCCTTTTAAATGTGGCAGTCACTGCTGGCTGCGCCCCGTGAGGCAACTCGCACAGAAAAGTAACGAGGTCGCCCTGTTACTGTTTTCTCTTGGTTCTCTTCCCCGAAGGAAACTGTAAAAGTGGAATTTCCAGGGCTGGAAATGGTATTAAAGCAGCAGAAATTGACTCCCAGGAGTCACACAAAGTGGAGTGAATTGGAAGAAGCCGCTGTGGCGCGATGCTTTCCAGAGCCTGAGCTCACCTAGCATCCCACAACAGGGCTTCCTCCAAAATGCAGGCTTTGGGATTAACTCTGATGCAACTCGGACACCTCGCCAGCTATTCCAGGATCTGCAGCCATCGTCTTTGTAACATCCACATCAAATACAAGACATCTGCTATGTACTTGTGATTTCTTTCCCAGAGTCACACAGGGTTCTTTAGTTAGGAAGGGAAAAATTAACTTGATTTCAACCCCTCAAAATTAGGCCATTTGTAAAATGACCAGAATCAAAAGCCAGAGCTCCAACAATCCCCAAGTTTTAATTGGAATGAGGCTCCCCAGCAAGGGAAGCCCTGCAAGCCAATTATCTTTTAAATGAAGATATTCAGAGTCCTTCCAGTGACCTGGAATGTGCTACCACAGACACAGCAGTATTAAACTGTTCTAAACTGTCAAGCATCTGTATTCACACCTTTGGTAATGTTGAGGCTCTAAAAGCTATGTGAAGGAAATAAAACTTCATGTTAGAGGGTCTTTTGGTTTTTTTTTTTAACCTTCTTAGTAATCCAGGACAGAACCCACCCTGTTTTCCTAACTCAAACCAGAAAATAAGAAAATATTTCAATACTAAACAAACTATTCTAACTTCAGGCAATACTGAGAGCGTGCTGGTCAAAATCTTACTAATACCATTAAAATAAATTGGGGGTTCACAATCATATCAAGATCCAGGACAGTTCTGTCTCTCCCTTTTCCTGCATCACTTTGCCATGGCTTTCTGGAGGTTTTCTGTTCCCACAGCCTGGAATGCAGCTCCCTCTCCATCACTGATGACAGGAGAGTCCTGCTGTCAGAAATCATCTCACCCTATCCCTGCCTCCTCATCTTTGATCTCCTTTATTCTCACACCTCCCCTTTTTCATGGCTAGGGCTGATAATGTTGGGTTTTCATCATTTAGCTCTGTACAGAGCTGCTGTAATCCTGAGAGCTGCTCCCTCTTAGCTGCAAATGTTCTTGACACATATTTCCAGCTCTCCTTTCTATCAGATTTATGGGTACAGCTGGCCCAGACCCCTGTGCTGGGTCCAGCCCCGTTACAAAGGGCTGTTATGCAGTTCCCTGGAGCAGCCACCAGTCTGAAGAAAGCTGGAAGGTGTCACATCACCACAGCCACTGGGACAGTGGTCACTCAGTTCTGTGGCTTTCACAGCATTTTGGGCAGCTGGCCAACACTAACAGCTCTCTGCTGCCCAGCTCCCAGGCAAGCACAAGTAGAAAACTTGCATCTTTGTGACCCAGAGAGTTTAGTAAAAGACCTGTGGTAATCACCTGGTGCAGGGGATGCTTTCCCACTTTGGGGCTGTGGCAGGCTTCCAAGTTCAGGGTTATTTTCTCAGACAGTAGCACAGACTGTGCAGGAACACTCAGCAGGACACATAAATTTGCCCAAAGATTATGTCCCTGAACACAGGGATTAGAGGTATGGTAGTGTAAAATAACCAATTTGGTATCATTATTTAAATTATGACCATTAATCATATTTCATACATTCACAGATGTAGTAGTTTGGTCTGTGTTAAACACAAGTAGGCTGAGCACCAACAATCTGGGTTCATGGCTTACATGTGGTGATTGCAGAACTTACTGTGGGATGTTCTGGCTCCTCAGTAGATGGAGAAAAAGGATTTTCTGACTTTCCTGTCTGATGGCTGCTTGTTGCTGCAGATGCAGAACCAATCCAGAAGAAATCAGACAACATTCCCTGTAGTCAAAACAGAAGAAATGCCCAAGTACAGCTGTGTTTAAATGCTTAGTCAAAGGGGAAATACAATATTGAGCGACATTAGACCATTCTTTAAAGACCCAAATTCGTGGTCCTTTGGCAGCTTTGGAGACCCAGGTCAGGATTCATTTTAGCATAGACTTTGTTTGTGATGCTGGGTGAGTCACAGCTTTGCTGTGCTTTCATCTACCATTTCTCAGGTGAGTTCTCTAACACCACCATAACCATATTGAGAGAAGACATAAATAAATATATATTTTATACACACATCTTTAGGCATCTCACAATTTTATAAGCCCCTTAAGCAGGTAGTTATGCCCTAAGTGACCCCAGTTGTGTTATCCATGTGTATTATCACTGAGGGAACACTTTAATTTTATGGTGTACAGTTCAGAGGTTTATTCAGAGAATGACTGACTGGGGGAAAGAGGAGAGGCTTTTTGAGGATGAGCCTGAGCAGGGAGTGGGAGGGAAGGTGGCGTGTCTCACTGAAAATCAGTATTTCCTTCCGTCAGACATGTCAATCCCAAAATACCAAAGTCTAAACAATCAAGAAAAAAACTTGTACAATTCAAACAAGGCTTAATCCTTGGTGAAACACAGCACTGTGCACACCTCTTGATAAGCTGATCTGGTCAATCCCTTATTTACACAGCCGACAAAGTCCTTTGGGAAGGAGCAAGGGGAGAGGGGATTGGAAGCAGTTGACAGTGCTGGCTGCAGGGTGGAAACCCTTCTGCTCTTCTGGCAATCAGAGACAGGGACTGTCTTTAAATGGATCAGCCAGGCAAGAACCAGTTAGGACCTGACACTCAGGACCTCTCTGCTGCTGGTGCCACAGATTTGAGTTCAGTAAGGGCCAGATGAAGTCCTTTAAAACAAGATGATGTGTTTTTCTCAGCCTGTCCCCAAGCAGGATGGGCTAGGCTGGTGGTGGCAGCCCTTTCACCAGTGAGCAAGGAGCTGAGGTGCCTCCTCTGGTGAAGAAAGACCTTCCTAGCCACAGCTCTACCAAAGAAATTAGTCTTTGCTATCTAAAGGGAAAGGCAGTCTATTAGCTGCACATTGCTCAGCTGGGAAGTACAGTAATTTCAAGAATTATGTTAAAGAGTTCTGTTCAGCTGTGGGAATACAACATGCCAGGAACCATCAGGTCTGCTGCTGGAGCAGCTGCCGGGGCAGGGCTGGCCCCTGGCCACCACATTTCCACAGTTACCTCACTGTTTAATGACTGCTCCGCTGGAACGCCAGATCTTGGAGGGGGAGAGAAAGGCAGAGCCCTGGAAAAATCATTTGCATCGTGGCTTCCTTATGAAGAGAAGGAGAAGGTTGTTGAGGGAGTGGTTAAGAGCTGAGATGTGAATGTGCAGAAGTGGCCAAGTGTCGGAGCAAGGTGCTGCTGCATCCCTGGGGCCGGGCAGCTCCGCACCCACGGTGGGGCTGGTGCTCTGGAACGTGACTGCTGCCATGGGGAGCATGGAGACACTGCACAAAGCCACCAGAAAAACCTGGAAATGTCTTTAAAACCCCTCTAGACAGAAGTGCTTTTTCAGAAGTACCTACAGAAAGCTGCATTAGTTGTTTCTTTTCCCTCACAACCCAATTGATTCAATCCCACCTGCTTCAACACTTGTTCAGCCAGGTATAAAAGTGTCAAATCAAAGCCACATAAGGAGCCTTTAATGAAAACAGGCAACTCTAATTACTGAAAGTGTCTTGAGAGCAATGCTGTAATTGTTTTTTGATTGTTCTAATTGATTTGCCTTCTTAAATAGGGATAATAGAAGGAAACAGTCGTGCTAGTATGTGCTTGTCTTTCAAATCCGGAATCATCAGTCCTTGAAAGTGGTCTCACAGGACTGGAAATTGCTCCTTGAAATCCTGTCTGAGGTCTGGGTCTGTAGACTTGCAGGGAAATAGATTTTACTTCATTTTTCAGTTCTCTTACCCAGAAGAGTTACCTGGTTCTCACTGCTGCCAGGTGCAGGCAGATTCAAATAAAATCAGATGTTGTTCCTGTTCCTCTGTATCAGGTCCAAGTCCATTTATCAGTCGATCATTAGGGAAGATAATGATCAGAAACTGATGTAAAAAGCACGTTTTCAGGTGAAGTTGTTGGTGCAGTTCCCCCATGGAGGAGCTCGGAGTGTGCGGTCAGTGGAGCTCTGCCAGTTCACACTGGCAGGGAATTGGGCTTCCTTATCATCCCCAAATCTCTGGGAGTAATTCACTAATCCAGGATTACTCTGACATTTTTTATGACTTTAATAGACATTAATATTTGATTGACAACTTCAAATTGACATGTTAGAAGAAAAATGCACAAACTAAAACCATCTGCATCGAATTACAATGTAACTGTTGCAATTTTTGTCATTAATTGGTTATGAAAACCAGACTTGTAAGATAACTTCCTCAAACTTTTTTTGTGTTCATAACTTTTTCACCCTCTGGATAAAACAAAAAAAAAAATGGTTTTGGAGGTAGAAAAATTCATCTGTATCTCTAGAAGTGCAAACTGATCCTGTTCTGATCTCTAAATGTTGTTATTCACAGGGCTTTTTGCAGTGCTCTGCTTTTGTTTGTTGTGCTGTAAATAACAACACTGGATTGAGACTGAAGGGAGAACATTGTGAACATTTAGTTGTCTTTAACACTTCATGCACTTAGTTTTGTGTTTATGAAAGTTTTGCCTTTATAAAAGTTAATAGGCCTAATTAGCATCCCTCTGTCATAAAGGACATTTTGTAGGAGTTTGTAGTTAGGAACAAGCTGGGATGAGAGACCAGGATAACAGAGCCTGTTCACTCAGCCCTCCAAATATTACATGTCCTTCTAGTATATATTTATTGTATGCTGTTTGTCCAGAAAACTATTCACTGCAGAATTTCATATTTTAGGGGATTAACATGATGTTTTTCAGCGATGGGAGATTTCTGTTTTGCTAGTCTTAAAATGCCAGAGGGGGAAAAAAAAAAAAAAAATATGCACAGCAGGTGTTGTGAATAGCAATTGCCATTCTGGGCCTGTGGCAAAATTTGTAGCAGTTTTGTTTAATGCTGTTTTCTAAAATTCTGCCTAGAATTTTGTGTTTGATGCTGTTTAAAACAGTGGCACTTAAAACAATGTCACGTAGTCAGCAGGAGAGAGAGGCAATGCAAGGATCCAGTCCTAAAATTCAGTCACCCCCAAGCACTGGAAGAGTCAAAGAGTTTGACTACTGGAAGCGTGGAGTATTTTACATAACACATCACATATGACTGGGTCAAGTAGTTGCAGGAACCAGCATTACATATAAACCCCTTCTGTTGCTGTTAAGTGTCTCACTGTAGATCTCAATAAAAAAGACACATAAATCTTAGGGGAGGTTCTGCTGCTGGAGCTCAGTGGGGTGGCTGGAGCAGCCATTGGGAGCTGCAAAGTTATTCCAAACATTTGTCTCTAAACTACAAGAGGATAAAAAAACCCAAAAAAAACCAAAAAAAAACCAAAAAAAGAGAAACCAACCCAACAAAAAACCGGGGTAGAAGTGTTACCTGTCCTGTTTTACCCCCCACACACAATGTTTTAAATGTGTTTATCTGTTCTTTTTAGGGTGAAGAAACTAAAGCACTGACTCTGGTCCTTCATCGGGACTCTGGATCTCTTGGATTTAATATTATTGGTGGCCGGCCATGCGTGGTATGTTAATTGTTAAAATATGTTTGCCCTTTCCAGTTGGGAAAAGCATGTAGGTCAACACTTAGAGGAAAAATGTTGCTGACAAGCATTTGGTCCTCTTGGGATTCCTTCAGAGCAGTTCTTCCTTTGAGGTTGTATGGATGTCTATTAACTACGCTGCCTTTTCTCTCGCTGCCTGTTTATTCTTGTATATCCTCACACCCTGGTGCAGTGCCACTCCCAGAATGATAAAACCCATGGTGTCTCCTTCTCAGGCCATACTGCTGTGAAGTTTGTGGGTTGAGAGCCACAATTTTGGCCCCTTTTATTAAAAAAAACAAACAAATATTCACTCTGCTTTCCATCAGAGATCCAGCAGCCCTCTGTGCAGGTGAAGGGGTGGAATTTGAACAGCCTGGTTTGGAATTCTGTGACTTCAGCAGATGTTTCCTGCACCACACACTCACTAATGTATTTTTTAGGGATGCTTGTTGGCTGGAGCTGCTGCATATGACTTTAATTACATCAAGGAGTGGATTATACCTTGTCCTAGTAATTTAGAAAGTATTCAGAACTACTTCTTGGCTGCTCAGAAATTTGACGTTAATCACGATTTATTCCTAGTGAATTCACTTGAAAGTTATTCTTTCTTTAGAGTTTTTCAGCTTTCTGAGGCATTGTTCTGCACTGGTAGAAGCACAATGCACAGGAATATGAAAATACCTCGTTAGGTGTAAGGCGTTTTCATGGGTATATTTTCAGATCCCCAGAGAAAAAGCTGTGCAACTAAAAATGAAAATTGCACTGTTGTCTTATGTTTGATGTACAAGCAGGCCGTGTCTCGCTGGATTTTGCTGTGAGAATAATTGTAATGACAATTACTCCTGAGCTGGCCTAAGTCAGAGGAAAATGATTATCAAGCAACTAATTTACCTAATGGAAGTCCGACCCTGGTTGCTTAATCTGTCAAAATTGGAGTATCAGATGTCCTCATTAGCATGAAGCAATTCCATATTAAGACATCAGTAAGAATATTTCTCTCAAATTACGTGCACTGTTGTGACATGGACAAGCTTCAGCTGAGGGCAGACGAGAGGGACAATAATGTGTTTTCCTTTTCATCCTTGAAGGACAATCAGGATGGGTCATCGAGCGAAGGAATCTTTGTGTCGAAAATAGTTGACACTGGGCCTGCTGCTAAGGAAGGAGGGCTGCAAATCCACGACAGGATTATTGAGGTATGAGAATACACTTTTAACAGTGCAAGCTCCAGCTCAGGTCTTCACATGGCATGTTTGCTGTGGGTTTGGGAGGAGTGGGTCGTGGAAAATACTGTCGAGAAGATCTGTCTGTGAAAATATGCTGGGCTTGATTCAGTGCTGACCTCCAGGGCTTTAGGTATAGTCCTTCCCTAAATATAGAAACCAGATTATGGATGGTATGTGCGTGTCCTGACTTCCTGAGGAGCTCGCATCTCTCTGGTATGCCATAGATAGTTCTTTTTTAAGCTGTTGGAAACTTGGAAGTTGTTTAGTTAAAACCATATGTGAAATATCTGTGGTGTAAAGCACAACGTTATTTTTCTTGGTATTTAAGTTTTGAACGGTCAGGGGAAATTCCTGAAAGAAGAGAAATCTTCTCTGTGATTTTTCTCTATGGTTTATCATAAACTTAAGTAACTTCTTTAATGTTGTTTGTGAGTTCTTACATTACTTAGATTGCAGTCTGAATTTCTTCTCATTTTGCCAAAGTCTTGACCTCAATAAAAAGCTCTTCCTGCGAAGGAGATGGTTGCATGAAACTTTCCTCTAAATTTGCAGCAAGCCAATTTCTTTTTTTGGGGGGAAAACGAGAAAAAGGTTCATTTTCATGAAACAAAATGCAGCTGACGGTGAGTCAGTTCCCATTGTTTGGGATTTTGCAGTTCAGAAAAAGTCTTCCTCACTGTCTTATTTTTGTAGGCTGGAGAAACTTTGAGAGTCTATTGTTCAAAAAGATAAGTTCGGTGTTTGTTGCCAAGGATATCATGGAACAGCCAGTTTCTCTAAGTAATGGAATTCCATTGCTCTTATGTTTTGCAAATGAGCAATAAACAGCTGTTAAGGATTTTCTGTTGGCAGGGGACAAACTGTATTTGCCTTTTTCTGTACTGTTATGGCAAATTGTATTCACCATTTAGTAAGGGTATAAAATATTAATTAAGTTTCTTCATATGGGAAAGAATGGAGCCCCAGTAGCAGAACTATAAAAAGATAAGAAGCTGAGCTGTGAAATGATCCAGAGTTGCTCAAACTCTGTGTGTGATGTAACATTTGAGAAAAGGTCTGGACGGTTTTGTGAGAACTCTGTGATTTTGTTTGAACTGAAAGGTTTCCCATAAGCCTGAATTTCCCCACAGCCTCCTTGGAAAGCTGACATCAATTTCTGAAGTAGTGCACAGTCCCAGAAACCAAACATCCCTATGAAAACCAAAACTCTGGGAGATCAAATACTGCAGGGTTAGGAAATGTCCTGTGCTGAGGTTCGGGCTCGGTGAGCACCAGCCCTGTCACAGTTGTGGAAGTGACCCTGGCTCACAGTGCAGGGGACAAGGACATCCAGCCTCCACGGGCTCTGCACCATCTGCTCTCTTGCAAGGGATCTCTTTCCTTCTGGTTTAGTTTTGCTCCTTCCTTACTGCTCCCCAAGCTTAGTCCAGGCTGAGGAGCGAGTCCCACTCTGTGTCCAGAGGAGCTGAGAGGGACACAAGGGACAGGCTGAGCTTTCCTGCCGGGTCCCCTCCCTGAGCAGAGCCACGCCTGTGCTTGTGCAGAGCCTTTTGCACAGCCCAAGCTGCATTTTCAGAGAAGAGAAAAGCCCAGATTTGTTGGATTAATAACACACCAAGGGTAGCAGGAACCAATGTGTTGACATGGGGCTGACATGTGTTGACAGCTCTTGTTGTGCTGACCACAAACTCATTGTCATATTCACTCTTCTCACCTCTAAATATACACAAAATGCTGATGAAAATGGAGCACACAGTTTGCCAAGGGTTGGCTTTGGGTGCCTCCAGACCAGCATCTCAGTCTGGATCAGGAGTGTCCTTGAGTGGTGCCCAGCTAATGTGGTTTGGTTCCCATTGTGGAGCAGTCTCCAAGAGTGCTAATTGAATTCTTCTTTAGATAAATTAATTTGTTTCATGCAGCCGAGCCACTACAGGCATCCAGTTCACAGCACTAGACTGGAGTGCTCTAAAAGAGAACCCTCAGAATACAGATACTGTGGACACCAGCTCCTGAGAGCAGCTTTTTCATCGAGTATTCTCCTTCCTGTGGAGTTTGTATTTAGCACATTTTCTCTAGCCTTGCTCTGGATAAGGAAAAAGGAGATACCTCCTGCATCAAGGCATCTAAGTGAGATTTATCATCCTAATTCCTAATTATCTTGGATAATTGAAATACCTGCAAACTATCTAGATGAGAATTAATAACGGCCAGTGGTGGTGTCCTTCTAGAGGCAAGTTTTTTACAACCTTCACACTGTCAAAGTTTTGATTTGGGAGTTTGACTCAGAAATTATTTACAGATGTAGTTATAACTAGCAGAACACAGCTGGAGGACTTGGCACAGAGCAGAGCATCCTAGCAGGTCACATTTGCTTTCAAAGGCATAAAAAGTGGCGAGGAAAGATGGCAACTTACTTCTCTAGAACTGAATTCAGCTACCTAGAACTTCTCTAGCTTGTTCATTCAATATTAAGGTTTTATGTATCATCAGCATGATTCTAAATAGACTCTTCCACAAATTCTCATTCCAGTATAGGATGCTGAGCATAACATCTCCCTAATTAATTCCAGCATCCATCACAGGGAATTTACAATGAAGTAAAACATGAATCATTTGATTGCCTTTTGGAAAATGTTTCTTTGCTGCAGATCTTCTGATGGATGTGTTTTGGAGCACATATAAAATAAGAGTGTCACTTCTTGTTTTCAGAACTGCCACAACATTTCTAATTACTGAGCAGGAATTAGGCAGAGTGAAATACAGACACATCAGGGTACTGTTCAGGGCTGATAGCAGAAGCATTGCTTTATTGCTGTTTGCTTGCAAATTCTATCCCCTGACAATTTGATCCAGAGATAACCTTGGAATTATGTCAGAGATAATTTTTAAACACATTTTCCTTATGTAATTTGAATTTCCTGTTCTACATTTTTCAGAAGGTTAAATGCAAAGTTAACCAGGTTTAAGAATTGGCTTGAATTTTCTTTAAAAGCAATTTTTTGGCCCTTTTCATATGTTTGAAATAAGTAATGGCACTGTGAGGTCTATGTTGCTACTGCTAAATGACAAAAATCAAGATGAATGTTGCATGGTCTGTACTACTCAGTCATCAGAACAGCACGTAAGAAATACAGAGAAATGGCCTTCTTCTTGTATTTTGTTTTATGGAATCTGTTGAATAATGATATTTAGTGCTTACATGGGACTCTGAAGATCATGTTGTGGGTATTAACTGCTTAATAATTTCCCCTCACTGTTTAATAATATCCTTACTCTGTAAATGGGTAATCTGAGGCACAGAGGGAAGGAAGCCCGAGAAGTTCTTAACAGATTAGGGTTAAAGATTTGGATTTTGGTGTTTTTGTAACTTCTCTATGTAAACCAAAGCTTCTTACCCGTATCTGTTCTCAGATCTTTCACAGTGACTTTAGGAGTGAGGAAGTCACGATTCTGGGAGATTTCCTCTGCTTTCCTCTACATTTTTCATGCAGTTCTGTGCTTGTACCTTCAAAGCCAGCAGCTGATTTCAGCTGGTGATTTACTGAGGTATTGTTAAGATGTTCCATAGCAAATTGCCGCGTTAAAAACATGCTGAAACTATTGATTTTTTTTTTTTTCCTGCAAAGGAATTAATGTTCTCATAGATTTCATTTTTGTCAGGGTAACAAAATGGTCCTAATTTCCTCTCTCAACAGAAGTTGGTTCAGGTCCCAGCCCTGAATGCCTCTACACAGCTGCTTGGCATTTCTTAAGACAAAATCAAATTTTCAGAGTCTTTATTTTTAAGCACATCAACCCTGAAAGATTATAAATTAAATCTGGCATTCTCTTCTCACTAACCAGTAAACTTGTTTGTTTGGCTCTGGGACTGCTTGGGAAGAAGGAGGCTTTTGAAAAAGCTGACTACTCGCCACTTTAAAAAGTTTGCAGCACAATTAGGGTACTGTTGAGGCAGTATAAACTGTCACAGCCCTGCTGAAACCTGGAGGATTTATGCCATCTGGGACTCGCCCGGTGTTTCATGCTGCTCACAGGAAGGATCATTAGTTTAGGAGTTGAGAACACGTCTTAGTTCATTTGATTGATTTTCCCCAAAGCACACTCATGTGCTACAAATTACAGGCTGCTTTTCCAGGACGTGCATTTCTTCACAGATTACACACCAGAACAATGAAACTTTTTAGCAAATCTTGTGGATGTACAAACAAAATTTGCCGTTTGCTGCCGGCTCCCTGTTCACCCTGTAGAAAGCGCCGTGTTTTGGCAGAGCCACTTTCTGCTCACAGGAGGGGGTTAGGTGGATTTCAGGGAGATTAATTTGGTAGCTGTGTTCACAGCACAGCCTCTGAAAAGCCACATCAGCGCACAGAAATCCATCAGCCGCAGAGGAGCGGCAGGACAGGACACCCTGGCAGAGCACCGTGAACCTCTCCCCGCCGGTGACACGAAGCGAGGCAAGGATGGCTTGAAGAGTGAGTGAATGAATAAAAGAAGAAACATTCCTTGTGGTCTGGTGGTGCGTGATGGGTCTCGTTTTTCCAGCAGGCTGAGCCTGTGGCTGAAAGGGCTCAGTGTATTGCCCGTCTGGCTGCACTGTCAGTGCACGCCTGTGCTGCCCTGGGTGCCCTGCTCACCTATCGCCGCTCACAGGCAGCTTCCACAAATAATCAGTCAATAAAATCACTGTCTGAACACTGCCTTCAATTTCTGATTTGCTGGAGAGCACTTTTTGAAACGATGCCAGCTTTAGCAGGATAATCCTAAGCCTGCAGCTCCTTGCGGGACACTGGGTGCCAGCTGAACTCTGACAAGGCTACAGATTAAACAGAATTGTCGTGAATGGAAAATTCAGCTCTGCAAACAAGATTTACTGTGCAGCTCCGTACTCTCAGGAATTAATTTTCTAGAAGAAAACATTTTCAGACAGTGACTTAAAATTGGCTGTTGCAGTTCCTGCCAGGACACGCAAG